ACATAATTATTTTGGAATAATTTTCAATTTACAAGTTCCAAAGATGATAATTCTCATGTACCCTTCAACCAGTTTTCCCTGATGTTAATAAATATCTGATACATTTGTCAACACTAAGAAATTAGCCTTGGTGTATTATCATTAACCAGACATGAGGGTCCCGCGTCTCCTCTGCTCCATGATGGTATCAGTCTGTTGTTTTTCATTGTTTTGACAGTTTTGAAGAGCACCAGTTAGTACTTTGTAGAATGCCCCTTAATTTGGCCTTGTCTGTCTGATGTTTTTTTCATGATAAGACGGAGATTTGGGGTTTGGGACATGGGGATCAACTATCACACAGGTGAAACGCCTTTTCCATCCATCATATAAGGGGCATATAACATCCGGATGGCATCCCCAGTGACGTTAGCCCTGTGGTTATGACGGTGTTTGCTGGGGTTCTCCCTATAAAGTAGCGTTTTCCCTTTCCTCACTCAGTTCTTTGGTATGGACTTCCTACATCCAGCCCAGACCTCAGGAGTGGGAACCAATCTTCACCTCCTGGAGCAGTGGAATGTCTATTTATATTATTTGGATTCTTTTGTGAGGAAGATTTGTCCCTTCTTCCCTGTTGTTTATTTAATCTCTTACTTACCTTAGTGTGGATTCATGTGTATTTTATACTTTGAGTTATAATCTAAGTAGCTCCATTGTTTATTTTACACAAATTGTTCCAGCTTTGACCATGGGAGCTCTTTCAGGTTGAAATCTCAGTTCATCTGACCCGCCTCTCCCACCTCCTTCTGAGCACTATCTTTCTAGCACTGTAAGATGCTCTGAACTTATCTCGGATACCTCCTTCCCCAGCCTTAGAATTAGCTATTCCTCCAGGGCACAGTCCCGGTGTGTTGATTGTAGGTGTGTGACTCTGTGAGTACCCTGTTTCACATTAAGAAAAGGAATCCTCTATTTTATACATAAGAAGCTCCAGCGGATTTTCTAATTTGGGTTCCTAATTTTCTTATCCTAATATTTTAGATGCCATTCTTTTTTTTTAGACAGAGTCTCACTTTGTTGCCCTCGGTAGCGTGGTGGTTCTTTGTGGAGGAGATCAAAGCCTTTCCTTCTTCAGAGTCCTTGGATTTGATGTTCTCTATCTCTGGGATTTTTTTTCCTGTTTTTTACATGGTTAGCTCCTTTGACTTCCAGCTTAAAAGTCAAATTAGGGGAAAAGTCTTTTTTTTTTTTGGTAGAGATAGAGTCTCACTTTGTCACCCTCAGTAGAGTGCCATGGCATTACAGCTCACAGCCACCTCTAGCTCTTGGGCTTAGACCATTCTCTTGCCTCAGCCTCTCGAGTAGCTGGGACTACGGCACCCGCCACAATGCCTGGCTATTTTTTTGTTTCAGTTTGGCCCAGACAGGGTTCAAACCTACCACCCTTGGTGTATGGGGCCGGTGCCCTACTCACTGAGCCACAGGCACTGCCCAATGCCATTGGTTTTTTTTTTTTTACAGGTTTGAAATTTCATTTTGTATTTATTCACAAGGACAAAATATTTTTGCCAGGAAATTAGCTGCCTAAAAATATCAGTCTGCTCTATGGAACAGAGTGCGTTCATTCTAAACAGTGTTGAGGGGTGTGACTAGGTATGGACTAGATGAAATACTAGTATACTTTGTGTTTCTTATGAATGTTAACCCTTTAGCTTAGTTCATTGTCAAGATCGATGTTAATGAATGTCAGAACTTGAATAGAATGAATGGTTCCTTTTATAACACTAATTCTTCTTTAGTTTTGTTTTTGTAAATTTAGGTTGTATAAGACATATAGCTTTGGTTTAAAGTAGTTGATCAAGGGGCCATTCAACAGTCTAGGGTAGAGACGATAGCAGCATTAGATTACAAATCAGGAGACCTTTTTTTTTTTTTTAAATCTTTGCTGTTTCTAATTTGCCAAAAGGTCCTAAGGGAAGTTTTAGACTTCATGATTTCAATTTTTTTTTGGAGACAGAGTCTCACTATGTCACCCTCACTAGAGAGCTGTGGTGTCATAGCTCATAGCAACCTCTAACTCTTGGGCTTAAGCAATTCTCTTACCTCAGCTTCCCAAATAGCTGGGACCACAGGGGCCCACCACAACGCCCGGCTATTTTTTTGTTGTAGTTGTCATTGCTGTTTAGCAGGCCTGGGCTGGGTTTGAACCCGCCTGCCTGGGTGTATGTGGCTGGTGCCCTAACCACTGACTTACAGGCAGTAAGGCCCCCCCTTATTAAACAAACGTTATTGAGGTTTTAAGATCTCTTTGGCAATCCTGTGCTTCTTTTTATACTAGAATTTATCAAGCCTGTGCATTTGTGAGAGTGTGACATGAGAGGCAGTGCACAAGAGATACTGGAGCAGGCCCAGTATTACAGGTTAAAAATAGGTGCTTGGTCTGCTTTGTACCTAGAAGGGAATATCATTCAGGAAACAATACTGGGAGGAAAGCCTCACAGAAATAAAATCCTTCTTACTGCCTTGGAGATTCGGGCCTTCCCACACAGGAATGAATAATTTCCATTAACAAGCTCAGATCAGTCATAGAAGTGTGGAAACTGCCATGGTGAAAGTCTGTAACTCATATTTTATTAAGTAGACGTGGCTTTCTCCATTCTTTATTACACAGAGCCCTCACATTTGGAAGATTTTTTTCTTAAGTTGATATGTGAGGATTTTACGCATCTTCTGGAAGAAGATCAGAGAAGGTTATGTCCATGTGTTACTTCTTTAATATCTGGTTTTATGGAAATGAAGGAATCAAAGAAAATCTGCACTCTTTGAAACTTGGCTTTTTGCTCATGATTTCCCAAGTTTGGGGCGGAAAAGGGGTGAAGACGAGAGTGTGTGTGGTTTGAAAGCAGCGTGGTCATTTGTACTGTTCCTTTGGCAGGATTTTAGTCATGAAATTTAATTTATATTGATTTTTCAATGAAGTCAAAGAGACTGTCGGTTTTTTAACTTTAGGAGATGGGTGGAGCCAGGTGTGGTGGCAGCACCTATTGTCCCAGCGACTTGGGAGGCAGGAGGATTGCTTGAACCCACGACCCTGTGTGTGCAATAACAACACCATATATACACACACACTAAATTGTGAGGAGAATTGCCTCCCTTAACCTGAAAGATACCATCATGGATTCAGATGATATCTTTGATCCCTCATAAAAAATATTGCAAATGCAATATATTACATGGTATACTCTGGTGCTACATTACTGTATTGCATATATTATACACATAGGATCTACCATGTATGTAATAAAACAGTAATACACCCTGTGTGCAATAATACAGTAATACATTTTAAAGCAACTTATTGTAACTTTCAGTGGAATTTTAGAACTGAGTAGAAAATGTCTAGTAAAAATCATTGAGCTTTGTTATTGATTAATTTTAATTTAAAAATTATTCAGCCTTCGATTGTGATGGGTAAAATGGTATTCTCCTAATGTATTGTTGATGCTCGGTTATTCATTCCTTCAATGAATATTTATTGAAATATTTGGATTATACTTGGGAATCCAAATACTGGATCCACCTACTTCGGATTATACTTTTTGAATTAGCGAATTTAAAGATTAACTGTCTTCTACAAGCTTCTTTCAGAATTCTCACTACATCACATGCTTTTTGTATTTTACTTGAGTCTTCTTGGGAGTAGTGAAAATTTAGTTTCTCATTTCCTTCCTGAGTCCTGTAGAAGTTTTAATAAACTAGGATATGTTAAGATCTGCTTTCAGGAAAGGACAAATGTTTTGTAACATTCTTTGATGATGACATTTGTGGATGGCAAGTTTTCTTTCTGAGAATGCTGAAAGGGTTCAAATTTTATCCACTTGGTAGTGGTTTAAGCTATAACTGATAACACAAGGTTTTTCTTTTCTTTTTTTTTTTTTTTTGAGACAGAGCCTCAAGCTATCCCCCTGGGTAGAGTGCCATGGCATCACGCTCACAGCAACCTCCAACTCCTGGGCTCAAGCGAGTCTCCTGCCTCAGCCTCCCAAGTAGCTGGGACCACAGGCGCCCGCCACAACGCCTGGCCATTTTTTGGTTGCAGCCATCATTGTTGTTTGGTGGGCCCGGGCTGGGGATGCGAACCCGCCACCTTAGGTGTATGTGGCTGGCACCTTAGCCGCTTGAGCCACAGGTGCCGAGCCTCTTTTCTTTTTTTTAACATGTGCGTCTCATTTTTCCTTGAGCAACATAGGTGTGTGTGTCTTAAAGTATTTTGAAAATGCCTGGGAAAACTTTTTTTGGGGGGGGTGGTGGAAAGCTATTTATAGAGTAAAATAATTTTTTTAATTCTATGAAAAATATATTAAAGACATTGATGAGGAAATTGCTATGGGAAATGATCTGTTCCTATATTAATTATGTAGCCTCCCTATGCTGTAAATTCTATGAGTGCAAGGTAAGTGCCACATTTTTTATTTTCACCAAAATGTTCAGTCAGTGAGTGGATCAATCTGTATTTAAGGATATTGCTAATTTTGCATTTTTTCAACAGTGGGTTATAAACATTTCAAACAGATGACAAAGTTGAAAGCATTTTGCAGCGAATACCTGTATACTCCCCATTTAGTGTCTGCTGTTAACATTTGTTATGCTCACTTCATCATACGCTTACTTATTTATTAAAGTACCTTATTTTTGATGGTTTTCAAGGATTTTTCTAGGCTGTCCTGGAAGGTAATTTGTATTCAGTTTGAATTGGTGTAAGAGGTGCCTTGGAGTCAGTGTTAGGCATCAGGTGCAGCTCTGTTATTGAAGCTTGTGAAATACATTGTCAAATTATCTTTTACTAATATTCCTATGATTTTAGTATTATTTTCAGCATTTAATATAATCATCTGGTAGTCCCTCAGTTGCTGAGTAGCATGATGGGATGACTGTAGATGGTTCATGTTATCTTTTGCCTTTACAAATGGCTTGAACATCATTCCACACAGGGTTTATTGAATCTTTCGTGTATTTTCTTTTAGGAGTAGCCCACCGAAGCCAGAGCAGTGAAGGAGTCAGTTCTCTCAGCAGCTCGCCCTCTAATAGCCTTGAAACACAATCTCAGTCTCTCTCACGTTCTCAGAGCATGGATATCGATAGTGTCTCTTGTGAAAAAAGGTAAAGTGAAGCCAGTTTTCTAATCTGCTATTTTATGTATGGAAAGAGAAAGCTCCATTGGCGTTATTCTCTAGTCCAGTAGCCTCCAGTGCCACCAGAGACCCAAGCCAGGCCTTAGCAAACAAAAGCCAAAGTTACTAAATTTAAAGGTCTTTGTATTATCCTGAAATTTTTTTTCTTTAATATCTTTTATGGACTAATGGCGTGGTTGATTAAAAACAAGTTTTTTAATGCCCTCATTTTATAAGTATTAAGTTGGCAAGCTTACGTCTGTCCCTGAATATTTCTTCAAATTTTTCTAATTAATGAAATTCAAAGTTCAGGAGGTTTCAGACAGGTAAGCCTAAACAGCCTGTTTGCTCCATAAGAATCAGGATGTACAAAAACAGAGCCTTCCTATGCTTCAAGTGTGCCCTGAACAGGTGCTAGAGTGACTGAGGTGTTGGTTTGGGCAACCCAGACCCTGGGCTCTGTCTCCTCTGTGCTCAAGTACTCCCCTCGGTTCATGTCATTAGAGCAGACAAGTATCATTTCCTGTGTGTTTCATGATGTGAGAAGGGTTGGGAAACTCAGGTGTAGATAGAGCCTCAGCACTTGGTGGGACTCAGGTGAGCAGCCAGACCAGAGGTCTCCACATGAGGCAGTAACTCAGGAAGAACTGCACTCTTAGGGCAATAGGCACGTAGAAAATAATCTAACCCACAGAGTAAAGGTAATTGTGTTCTTATTACCTTTGCTGTGAGTAGAGGCATTTTTAACAAATAAAGTCAAGTCAGAGATTTCACAGGCACTAGGTACTTCTGTGTGGGTGTAGGACATAAGATGCCATGATTGGTATAGTCTGAAAAAATGTAAGCTAAGAATTATATATGCAAGGGACACAGGCCCACAGTGCCTTTAGCATCCAGCAGAAGCTAACACAAATTATCTTCAGAGAATTTCCTCAGAAAAAGTACCAAGAAATATGAACTCATAGTCAAAAAATCAAAAATATATTAGAAAACAAGTTACCATGATAAGCGTCCTTAGAATAAGTAACAATAGAATTATTCTCCCAAAGACTTCTGGGTGTTAGAGTTATCAAATACAGAATATAAAATTTGTATGCTTAAATAAAAGGAACTGAAAATATCAATACGGTATCAGCGACTATAAAAACAACCAAATGTATTTGAAAAAGAGTCAGGTGCCGTTTTGTCCCCTGACAGTCCCAGCTACTCAGGAGGCTGAAGTGGAAGAATCGCTTGAGCCCAGGAGTTTGAGGATAGCCCAGACAACATAGTGAGACCCCATCTCTAAAAAAGAAAAAAGAACCACCAAATAAAATGTCTAGAAGTCGAAAGATAGTTCAAGTCAAAAACTCAGTGTGAGGTAAACTGTAGATCACCCATAGCTGAAAAGAAAATTGACAGATTTAAGTTGCTCAGAAATTACCCAGAGTGCACCACAAAGAGAAAAAGAGATAAAAAATATAAAAGATATTAAGATTTATAGAGGATTGAGGTCCAACATCTATCTAAAGTATCAGCCAGGCGCTGTGGCTCATGCCTGTAATCCCAGCAATGTGGGAGGCTGAGGCAGGAGAATTGCTTGAGCTCAGGAGTTTGAGACTTGTCTGAGTGAGAACGAGACCCTGACTCATTTTAAAAAAAAAAAAAAGAAAGAAAGAAAAAGAAAAACCCAGCTGGGCACTGCAGTGAGCGCCTGTAACCCCAGTGACTTCCGACTTCCAGAGGCTCAAGCAGCAGGATGCCCACAGCCTGAGTCTGAGGTTGCAGTGAGCTATGATGTCACTGCACTCTGCTCAGGGGGATAGGGTGGGAGTCTGTCTCAACAACAGCAAAAAAAAAGGAGAAAAGAATAAAGTATGAAAAGGGAGAATAAAGATGTAGACAGATTCCTTCCCCTCCCTCTTATTCCGTCTTTTTTTCTTCTATTACTTTAGAGAAGCCATTATCAAAAAGACAAGTGGCTTTTTTTCCCCTAGAATTGTGTGACGATGCAAATCCTCACATTTTGGAAGCCTAATGAGTCCCAAGCAGGATAAACAAAGAGAAACTCACACCTAGACAGTTTATAGTGACATTGCAGAACACCAGTGACGAAGACCTTTAAAGCAGCCAGAGGTAAAAGAAATGAAAGTTAAGTTTCTTAATGACGGGAGTCAGAGGATGACAGAATAATGGCATTAAATGCAAAAAGAAAGTAACTGTCCACAGGGAGTGGTGTACCTCTGTGAAACTACCTTTGAAGAGCGTAGGGTAAATAAAGACATTTATAGATTTAAACAAACAAAAAAAAAAACAGTCTGTTAATCTGCCTCTAAAAGACCCCAATTTTAATTAATGTTTATAGAGGAAGAGAATGATCTCAGGACTGATGCTTGAGGTACAAGAAGGGAAAGTAAGTGGAGAAGGTAGTACATGTAAGCGGCCGCTGGTGTGTAAAACAGTACTAGTGTATACAGTGATGATGGGCCAGGGGGGTAGAAAAATCAGGTGGATCTGAAATACTGACCAGCAGCAGCAGGTAAGCCAGCAGGGTGTAATTAAAGTAATGTTCTCAGGTTCTTTTACTCCTTGGGGGAAGGGTAAAGATACTGGCTGACTTGTAGGTTTTGAATTAAAAATACTTGCTAAAGTTTCAAGAGTAGCCATTACAAGAATAGAAATGGACTATATCTTCCAAATCAGTAAAGGAAAAACATGGAACAAGGTGGATAGTGAGGGGGAGGGAACTTGAGTCAATTCAAAGAAAGGGAAAAAAGAAATAGAAATTTTAGAAAGGTATAAATAACATCAAGTAAGGTTTAAAACAGTCAAAATAGGTTGGTAATCACGGTAAGTCACAATTATGCATCATGGGTTGGATAAAAAAAAAAAATAACAGAACCCGACTTTACACTTGTTTACAGAAGGCGTACCTAAAACATTAGGTAGAGAAAGATTCAAAGGAAAAGGAAAAGATACACCAGGCAAATACTAAGTAGAAGAAAATTGGAGTCAATATTAATAAAGTTGACTTCTAGGCAGCGTTATTAGAAGTAAGCATTCTAGGGCAGCGCCTGTGGCTCTGTGGGTAGGGCACCGGCCCCATATACCAAGGGTGGTGGGTTCGAACTCAGCCCTCACCCCACTGCAACAAAAAATAGTCTCGTGTTGTGGAGGGTGCCCGTAGTCCCAGCTACTCGGGAGGCTGAGAATCGCCTAAGCCTAGGAGTTGGAGGTTACTGTGAACTGTGATGCCACAGCACTCTCCTGAGGGCAATAATGTGAGACTCTGTCTCCAAAAAAAAAAAAAGAAGTAAGCTTTAGATAATGATATTTAGTTCTCTAGTAGGATTTAATATATAAATCCTATATACAATTTCAAATATAAGGGTACTTAGTAATACAACATCAGCTTGTCATAGAGCACATACTGGTAGAAATACAAGAAGAAACTGACACATCATTGTAATGGGAGATTTTTTCTTTTTTTGGAGTTTTTTGCCAGGGGCTGGGTTTGAACCCACCACCTCCCGCATATGGGGCTGGTGCCCTACTTCTTTGAGCCACAGGCGCCACCCAATGGGAGATTTTTAACACATCCCTTTCAGCCATCAGTAGATCAAGGAGAATAAACATTGTTAAGCATATAGACAAACACAGCTAGCAAACTTGATTGCATTGAAAGATACAGTACTGGCTCGGCGCCTATAGCTCAACTGGCTAAGGCGCCAGCCACGTACACCTAAGGTGGCGGGTTCGAATCCCCAGCCCGGACCCGCCAAACAACAATGACG